GGGAATTGAAGTCCACAAGTCTTAAAGTTGCCAAGGTTGGAGACCCCTGCACTACACGATACACAATTATCTGTTTGTGTATTTATTTATCAAATTTAGAAACTAGCCATCTCTCAACCAGAGGGACTCTTGTCCTTGTACAATGAAAATAGTAAAATGTTACAAATATAAGCAACTGAATATAAAAAATTTAAATTAGAGGCAAGGATAATAAAATTTAAATTCTGTTGGAATCTGGGGGAAATTGGTAACTAGGGAAATATACTGTATATTTTTCATTGTAATAATAAAAGCCAGATGTAACTAGAATATTAGAATTTTAAAAAATGGTTTCCTCTATTACACAGATTTGGAAGGAAATAATATCCAAATTAAGTAAGCATAATTGATTTGGAAACAGGTGGCCTCTAGAATTCTAGCCAGAAATGGATCATGTTTTCTTGATTTCATCTGCATTAAGTAAAAAAGACTAAAGTAAAACTAATTCTTGGCTGTAATCTTCAATGTGTTCTACTTCTTTTCATTAGATCTGTAGTATTAAATGGATTTTTATTCAGCAAAAGGCAGTAACCTATTTAAGAGTCACTTGATAGAATTGAATCTTTGAGCAGATATATTCCATTTAAAGTGTATTCATTTTCTATCAACCTGCAATTCTGTTGTGAGGGTATAGTATTATTCTGAAATAAGCGTATCACATTCTGGTATTAGAAAATGTTGAACATTTTTCAAATGGTCATGCACTGTTTTTCTAGAATCTCAAATATTAGTCATTGGTATTGGTTACTCAATATTAAAATGCATGAGTTTTAATACATCACTACTTCAAAATGGCATAATTCATCTTCCCTTCTCTAATGCCTCCTGTTCTTTGGTTTTCTTTATTTTTAGAAGAATACAAATAGCTCTGTGCTTCGTTGCAACATCAGCTTTCTTGCCCGCTTTTGTCTCTGCTTTCTTTTAAAGTGGAAACTAGTTTTCAGATATCTGCCCCAATCTCAACAAAGTTTCTCTAGAAAATGTAAGCTTGATCTAAACTACAGCAGCAGATGATAAATTAGATGTTTGGAAATATTTAATTGACACCACCATTTAGATGACTCACTCTGTACAGAGAAAGGAGTAAGTGAATTTGCTGACTAATGTGACAAAATTCCCTTGTTTTGTATGCCAGATTAGACGCCTTGAATCTTGCCAAGGCTTAAACAGATTTAACGTACTTATACAGGTAGTCCTCGATTTATGGCCACAATTTGAGCCCCAAATTTCTGTTGTTAAGAGAGACATCTATTAAGTGAATTTTGCCCCTTTTACGCCCTTTCTTGCCTCCATTGTTAACTGAATCACTGCAGTTG